CAAACTGTTACAGCTGTGATCTCTCGGACTGTGCACCGAGGTTTCCTCGGATCTCTTTACCTCATATTATTTCTAGACGTATTGACTCAGCGATAGCCTATTTCAGCTGATCGTACGTTGGAGATCCCGTTTTTCAGTGCTTTCTCACATTCCTGAGAGTAAATGAGCTCCAGGAGAAAGTTCGACTTGAACGCAGAGAGCTTTGTCTTTAGATTCAGCTCTGTTAACGTCACAACGGTTCGGGTCAGTTCACAGAACGCCACGCCAATTCTCTGGTCGATTTCCGCCTCCAATTTTCTATCATCAGTAAACTCGCCCCCGAGGTACTTTATTTTTTTAGCCTGTTCCTTAGCTTCTTTCTACACGGATACACTAATCACCTTGACTGCGCCTGATTATTCTATGCGTGTACAACACTAACAGAGAAGGGACAGAACGTATAGTGGTGGCGGAGATCACTGCCAACCCTGAAAATTTTGGACTTAACGCCATTTACTTTGACGCAGCACCTGCTATGAACATACAGCGATGGTACGGCTTCGAGGAGCCGGCCATCGACCCCGTATGTTTTCAGGCACACCCACAGCCCTTCGCGTGGGATCAGGTCATATGCTTTATCCAATTCAACAAAGCACATGTAAATCAGATCAGGCGAACTCCAGTGATTTATCCATAATCTGGCTTAAAGCGAAGATGTGTGAAGATCTAGTCGAACGTATTCAGCCTGACTTGAAGCCACGTTGTTCTTCTTGGATCTGAAAGTCAGCTTTTCCACTAGGTTCAATAAGATAATTTCCTGATAATTGGAGATGGTCTCCTTCCATGCCTGTGGAAGTCTTGTTCGCCTAAAGCTTTTAGCATCTCTGGGTTTATTTCATTGATTTCTGCAACTTTGCCAATTTTCAAGATTTTTACAGTTGCTGTGACTTCTACTGAAAGACTGATATTCGTTCCCTGTTGTTATTAGTTGAGTCTTTCTGTGGTTGTTTCGAGTTAAAGAATTTTTGAAAGTACTCTTGCCATCGCATAAGTGTGTCCTCATTCTTCGTAAGGTGAAGTCCGCACTTGGCGTTCCGAACAGTTGGACTGCCCTTCTTTCTATCTTATAGGCTGCGAATGATCTGCTAAAATACTTTGTTTACCATCTGGAAATTCGACTCCAGCACCTCATCGAACTTTTCCCAGGAATCAGCTCTCGTTTTTCTCCACTTAAACGCTTCTTTTTACTGCATTCGTTAAAACTCTCTTCTCCCAACCCACACACAATTAAGCGGTCTCTTTGACAGCCATTTGCACCTCTTATATTTTCCTTGAAGTTCATTTCTATTCTTTTGTCCCTTTTTAGCCACAGTATTCGGGACAGTCCAGATTAAGCCGCTGATAGGATAATGAATACCTTCCTCTTAGATTCGACATTAGTAGTCATCTCTGGGATCTGTTCGAACCGCCATATGATGTTGTTTGCAAGTTATGTCTTCGTATCGGCGAAAGATTTTTTTCCATTAAATTCCCTGATTGCTTCTTTCATGAGGTCTTCACATTTTGCTCCATTTATCATAGCGTTGCGTGTCAATAACGAGGTGGTGATCGGTTGAAGCTCTGCACTTCTTTTAACCCAAACATTCATTAAGGAGCTTCGTAAGTCAGATGATATGATTATCAAACTACAGCTTCATTGTACCAGGTATACTTATGTACGCTTCGATGCTCGAAGAAGGTGTTCGTAATTGACCGTCTGTTATTTGCATGAAACCGCAAAAATTTTCATTCCGTTATTTTTCAGAAAATGAACAATGCGTTCTACGGCCATTCTTTCCAATCGTTTTTTCCACTTTTCAGTATCTATTCCGATATGTGCATTAAAATTGCCCATGAGAATGAGGAATTCCATATTGTGCACTTCTTACAGAGCACACTTTACTTCCTCAACAAAGGAGTCATATTTTCCCTCCAGATTGGGTGCATAGACCAGTAAAGGTCAACGCTTTAACCTGTTCTAGCTTCAGTCGGAAAATTGCCACTCTTCCGCTGACAGGCTTCCATTCAATGATTCTGTCAGTCAGTTTGGGTTCTACCAGAACACCACCACCGGCCTGAGCCCGAGTCGTAATATCGACGCCTGAGTAGAATAGTTTCCACCCGCAGAGATTCAGAATTCCAGAATCTTGTTGTTTCGTTTACGAGAGTCCAGCTATGTCGAATTGGTACCTTGGAGCCTCATTAACTAGCTTCTGCTCTTTCCCTCTGAGTGAAAATATGTTCCGATTTCTAAATCTAATGTTAACGTCCACTGTCGATGTCGTTCCCGTGGAACTTTAGGTGACGTGTTATAATAGTATCGTGCTGCATTGTTGTATTCCTCTTCTGTTTAGAACAGATAGCGACTCCGTCGCTGATTGTTGTTTTCGTCATCGTTCTGTCGATCTTTGGCAGCCGTCATCGTGCTGCTACACCTCAGCCGCCAGTAGGCTAGTTTCAAGTCCTCCTGTGACTTTTCGAGCTTACTTCAGTTCTTGAATGCCCTTCGCGACCCTTGGAAGCCAGGGCGACAGCCGAAGCTGTAAAATTTACATTGACGGCAATGCCATGAGGGTCATTTGTCAAGCCTTTTGGAAGATCTCTCCACGGTCTCTAACCCTCCTCCTTTCACATCCAAACGTGGGACCAGCAACGACGGAGTCGTGTCAACATAATTCTCGAAATTATTTCTGTCTCCTTGGATGTCCGATCAATCTCTAGAGAAATTGCGTAGTTGTGCTGTCGTACAGTAAAAA